CGGCGCCAGGGGTGTTGACTGCGTCAACTCGAGGGAGTGGGCGTCCCTCCTCAGCGGCGGCCATGGTTGCGGCCATCTGGTCCGCCCCCGTCAACCTTCGCCTGTACGATGGCGATATCCGTCCGTGTTACCTTTCGCCTTCGTCGTCCATATGTACGTCCTCGGGGTCTGGGGGCTCCTCCTGATTGGGGGGCTGCAAGGCTCGCACATGGAGCACTACGTCCCGTCCGAGAATGACGCCGAGGGGGTCTGCCATGTGTAATCGGCCCTCAATGCAAGGAGATGCATGCCTACCGCTGCTGTCTCAGCTTCGGTGTACAACCAAGATGGGGCCGAAGAACCGAGGCTCCTGCTGTGGAGCGTAGGGGCCGACGTGTCGGAAAAGCCGCTGGAAGTCGCTCACAGTCAATGGAGGCGGTCCAGGGTCAGTTGGCACTGCTTGCAGGCTGCTGACAGCAGGGGTTCGGAGTGCCACGGGGAGCCAGATCCCCAGTGTGCGCGTTGTCGCCACCTGGTTGGGCCTGCTTCCCAGAATGACGCCGTCGCTCATTAGGAGCGGTCGGATCGAGTCGCTCTGAGCTGAGTGGACGTTGCGCAACTCAGTGCAGGCGGTGGCGGCCCACTCCAAGGGTGCGGCTCGGAGCCTGGACAGGGCGACGGCTGCGGTGACGATGTCGACTCTTGGTTGAGGGGTCCAGTGTGCGTGGCGTCGAGGTCGAGGCGGTGGTCGTCTCGATGCTCCATCATATGCCTCCAGGCTCCGAGGAGCTCTGTGACCAACCATGTGGCTTTGTAGTCCACAGTGCCAGCGTCCTCGGCGTGTAGGTGGTATTGTATCGGGGCGAATATGTCGGCCGCTCTGGTAAGCTGCATGGCCAATCGGGGGCTGAGGTCGTCCAGCGGGAGGAGTGGCGCGGGCCTGACGTCGTTGGGGCGAGGGCCGCCCAGTACTCTCCACGAAGCCCCCAGTCGGTGGCAGGCAGGTCCTCTCAGGGTCCATGTTCCACACCAGGTGCATCGAGGGGTGGGAGTCAAGAATTCAATGTTCGCAAACTCGTCACGCCTTCAAATCTGCAAAGTGTCAAGATCTTGAAATGGTCGCAGCTTCGAGTTGGCATCTGCGCAGCCGCCCACGCACGCTCGACAGGGCTCACGCACGCAAATGCACAAGTGCGCGTGCGTTCGCATGTGTCCATGCACGTATGCGCGTGTCAGGATGCGCGCGTGCGTGAACGTACGCATGCGCCTACATGTCTTGGGATCGCCCGACAACCCCTGCACATGGAGAAAAAATACTAAAAACAAAGCCAGCGCTGAACTAATTGCACTGGCACTCTGGGTCGTGGTTTCGAGTGCCAGCTCTCACAAAATATCCATGTCTTCCCCATATGCTGCCCCCTGGCCCCACCCCGTCCCTGGGATATGGGGGTGGGAAGGTGGGAGGGGGGGCCGCGGGGGGGGTGACACCCCCCCCCCTGGGAGGGAGCACCCCTCCCTGGGAGAAGCGTTCGGCTCCAGACCCTCAGCGTCGTCGCCGTCATCGCCGCCGTCGTCTTCGTCCCCCTTCAAGGTCAGCGGCACCGGCCGGAAGGCCTTTGCAATGTCTCCGTCTTCCCCATATGCTGCCCCTGGCCCCGCCCTTCCCTGGGACCCGGGTTTGGACCCCCCCTCGCGGATCGTCGGCGTGTGCGTCTTAGGACCTGTTCTCCGCTGCACGCCTCCCTGCGCGTGCGTGCTTCCTAAATGGCCCAGCGTGGTTCCAAGTTGGCCCAATGTGACCCAAAATGGGCTCGATCATGGGCTCAATGACGGTTTCCAGCATGGAGATGAGAGGATCCCAGCGAGGCACCTGGAGGCCAAAATCACTTTAGAGAGTTCGTTGATGCTCGCGTTCGCGCATTTTCACTTCCGATGGGCCTCTGAGGCTCTAGAAGCCGCCCTAAAGAGGGGGCCAGAAGGACCCTCATGGCTCTGAAGAGCATATCGAGAGAGCCCCACGAGCCTCATGAGGGCCTGGAGAAACAATTGTTCTCATACCGAGGGGGGATGATGAGTGGGCTCCCCCCTTTGGAGCTGACTGCTTCCAGCATAGCCCCAAGAGATTCCCATAAGAGCTCCAAGAGGCCTCCAAGAGGCTGCAAGCAGGCCCCAGGTCCCAAGTTTAGATACGGGGGACCGAAAAAGAAGCCAAGCTACGCTAAACGAAATAAAGCCAGGTTCCGCGACATCAACCGCAGATTAGCTATGCTACGCAAGCCAAGACTGGCATTGCAACACTGTCTCGACATGATGTAGTTCGACTGGTGACCTCCCCTGTGTTTCACTAGCTGCCCTTCGCACGACGGGTCGCCTAGGGGCGCCACCGTGCCAGCGCCACGTTGGGGCGGGCATCTGTTGTCTGGCAGTTGCGTCAGCTCAGCGCCTCTCAGGCCGCCCCCCCCCTTCCCGGCGCAGCCAAGGTCCGAAAATCGACCCCCTGGTGTTGCTCTCTGGCACACTCTTCTGCCTCCAGACGGCTCCAAGACAGGCAAAGACCGCTCCCAACTGGCTACAAATCGCCCTAAGACCTTCCAAAGGCGGCCGAACAAGCCCGCGAAAGCTCCAAGATCTACCAAAGATGCCACAAGATGCTCCCAAAAAGACTATCAGGCAAAGAAGCCTTCAGCAAGGAAAAACCTCGGGAGAATCTATAATCTATATGTATTGCGTCCGATGCATTTCACCTTCAGATCGCCCCAGGAAAGAGTCAAAGAGCCCTATGACAAGACAGCCACAGACGGCCCCAAGAGCGCCGTCAAACCGCCCCAAGAGTGTACGTGTCGGCTTGCAGGCGGATCCAAGACAGTCAAAGACCGCTCCCAACTGGCTTTCAATCTCACAATCACCTTCCAAAGACGGCCGAACAAGCCACCGGAAGCTCCAAGATCTACCAAAGATGCCACAAGATGCTACCCAAAAAAACAAGGAAAGTTCAAAGAAGCCTCCCGCAAGGCCGTCACATGCAAACAAGATAGAAAAGCCTCGGGATAATCAATGGTATTGCGTCCGATCCGTTTCAGATTCAGATCGCCCCGAGAAAGCTTCAGAGAGCCCTAGGAAGACCCCAAGACGGCCTAAGACGGCCCAAAGAGTGCCTTAAGACCGCCCCATGAGCGCAATATTCGACTTGCAGACGTCTCCAAAACAGTCAAAGACAACCCCAAAAACCTCTACAAGGCGCCCCAAGACCATCCAAACACGGAACAACTAGCCTTCACGCTCCGAGGGAATCGCAAGACGCCCCAAGGCAGCAAGGTCCAAGAGGCAACACACTGTGAAAAACTATTGAACATCAATGTGTTTTGCCCCGATGATGCTGAGCTCGGTTTTCGCCTCGGATAAGCTTCAGACAGCCTCAACAATCTTCCAAGAGGGCCCAAGACGGCCTCAAGAGTGCGCCACGACAGGCCCAAGACTGCCCAAAAATGCCCCGAAACGGTCCAAGAGGGTTCCTAGACGACCCCAAGAGCTACACAGACGTCCCCAAGATATTTGAATCGAGCTTCTCCAGAAGAGATCTGTCGAACCATCGCGCCACGGCCCCGAGACCCCCCAACGGACAATCGACGAGCCCCCAACAGACCCCGAAGAGGCTCACGAGAGGGCCCATCGGGGCCCTCAAGAGACCCGAAGGAGCCCCCAGGAAGGGTCTAAGATCCTGCACGAGGGAAAAGGAGGATGAAGGAGGAAGGAAGCGGAGAAAGGGGCTGCGGGCAAGAAGGGGGCGTTGGAGCCCCGCGCCAGCTCAGACAAGGCACTGAGCAGAAGCGGGTCCTAAAATCAGCCTCACTCCCGCCGCGTTGCGACGCTGGCACGGTACGGCAGGGTCGTCCGCGCCGGGGTCGCCGCCGCACCGCCACGGCGCAAGCCTTCCGTAGTGGGGTCTGCCGCAGCAAGGCTGAGGGGGGGTCAAAGGGGGGAATTCGCTCCGAAGGAAAGATAATGACGAGGAATCGGTGATGCACCGCCGACAGATCAGCGGTGGGCTCCCGGTGGCCAAGCTAAACGTTCCTGGGCATGAAAGGCGACCCAGGCGCCGATTGGGGGTCGGTGGTCCCTCCCCTGAGTCCGCGATCCTGGTCGTCTGGTTTTCGGGTCGTGACCTGAGTCTCCGGCAGGCCTTCGGGACGATGTGGACATCCCCGGACGACTCTCGGCAGAGCGCAGCTTCTGCAGAGCATCCCGAGACGGGAAAACCTGTGGGAACTTGCGACAAAGACCGAAAACCTCCAAAAGACCCCCCCCCCTTGGTTTTGCCCCCGAGGGAGTGCGTGCGACACGTCCAGAGGTTGATGCACGCCGCGCGCGGGAGAGGAGAGAGGGGTGAGGGGGCCGAGGCGGTGGACGCATGGCCGTGCATCCGGCTAGCCGGGGAGGGCACGGCGGCGCAGGCGCGGCGCAGCGAACGCAGGAAACAGGTGCAGCTGGGGAGGAGGAGCAGGAGGAGGAGAAGGAGGAGGAGGAGGAGGAGGAGGAGAAGGAGGAGGAGGAGAAGGATCAGAGGAGGATCGGAGAAGGATCAGAAGATCAGAGGACGAGGGGAATCACGAGAGGTGGTTGTGTGGAGGGGTAGGGAGGGGGAGGGGGGCAGGAGAAAGTCGAAGGCGAAGGAGAAGCATGAGAAGGAGGAGAGCGAGGAGGATGGAGGACGATGGAAAAAGAGAAAGAAGCTGAAATGGGAATGATAGGGAGAGCATCGTGTTCCCCCAACCTCCTCCTAATCCTGCATCTTCGTCTTCCTCCTCCTGAGTACGAGGAGGAGGAGGAGGAGGAGGAGGAGGAGGAGGGAGGCAGGGAGGCAGGGAGGGAGGGAGGAGGGAAGGACCGCAACAACGGTCAAACCTCGGCGAGGGCTGCTTCGACGTGGCAGCGCGAGCGCCCCGATTGGCCCGGTGCGGGCGAAAACTGCCGCCCGAAGCCACGACACACCGCGCGTGCCGCTGCCAGGCTAAGCTCGCGGCGTTCCGCTGATTCCACGCTGGGATCGCGCCATCTGATAGCACCTGCAAGCGGTAGTTCTTCCGCCTCCCACTCCATCCCGCCTCGTCCTCCTCCGTTTCGTCCTCATCCTCCTCATCATCCTCCTCCCCATCATCATCATGATCATCATCATCATCATCACCAGCATCATCATCATCATCATCGTCGTCGTCATCGTCATCATCATGATCATCAGCAGCATTAGCATCAGCATAAGCATCAGCATCAGCATCAGCATCAGCATCAGCATCAGCATCAACCGCATCATCATCATCATCATCATCATCAGCATCAGCATCAGCAACAGCATCATCATCATCATCATAATCATCATCATGGGGCTGCGAGCCTGGCGAGATACATACCACTGAGCCCTGGCGAGCCTGTTCTATTCTCCTGGCGAGGCGCCAACGAGAAAATCTGTCTTCGAGAACAGTGCTTCGTCATCGCGATGAAACTGCAAGCGAGAGGCCGAGCAAAACTGTGACGCACAGCGAGCCTCTGCTCGAAAGATGCCCCTGCTACATATGACATTGAAAGGGTGGCCGCGGGTGGGAGCCAAAAAGACTGTGGAGCGGAGCAAAGGGCAGATGCTGAGCAAGCGTGGACGGCGACAAGAGGCTCTCCTCCCCAGGCCTGTGCACGCACTCCTATGGGGCTGCGAGCCCGGCGAGATACATACCACTGAGCCCTGGCGAGCCTGTTCTATTTTCCTGGCGAGGCGCCAATGAGAAAATCTGTCTTCGAGAACAGTGCTTCGTCATCGCGATGAGACTGCAAGCGAGAGGCCGAGCAAAACTGTGACGCACAGCGAGCCTCTGCTCGAAAGATGTCCCGACCCATCCCGAAACAGCAGTGGATGTGACTCAGGCTTGAAAGAATCTGGCTCGCAGAGGGGCCACAAGAGCACGGGCTAGCGCACGATTGAGCTGCTGTGGATACGACTGAGCTATCTGTGTCCACCGTTGGCCACTCGGAGCAGGGCCTGACAGAATAACATGCTTGCATCCCGCTCGGCTACAAACGCCGCTGGTGCCCTGGCACCGCCGCGAAAGCCCCTCGAGATCCTGGACGGGGGTGTTTCCGCACAGCAGCGCGGTGGGCTTTTTTCCACGGAGTGCCGAACTGACAGAAGTCTATCCTCAGAGGCGTCACCGAGGGGGAGGAGGCCAGGCGCTGGAACTCACGGGTTTTGAACATATAGCTAGCGCATGGGTTCTCAAGAACCCACGGGGCACCAACGGCGTCACATTCGCGAATTATTGCCAGAAGCTCTACAACACTTGTTACCCTCCTTTAGTTTCGCCCAGTCCTTTAAACTGACCTCCTTCCTTGAAAACCCCCACGGTCGAGACGCAGATCGGATGGGCGCAGTGCGAACGCGCGCTATACTAAAACTGATGCACGGTGGCGCAATCATTGCCCCGAGACACCGACCTCGTCGAACGTCTGAGAGGAGTGCCCTTAAAACGCGGGCAGAGGTGAGGTCGCCGCGCTCTCCATGCGTGATCTCCCAGGTCCGTGCCTGGAAGCCGAGCCGTCGCAAGGCTCGGGCGACTCCGCCCTGGCCCGCGAAGGCGTCTGCAATGTAAGTGTCCTGCATCAGTTGCGCTCCGAACATGGGGAAGGCACGAGCCGCGCGTGGAGGGCGATCTCCGCGCCGCGAAGCTCGCACTCCTGAAAATATGCTTGAAGCGCGGCCGGGTGGCGGTGAAAAGAGTCTGACAGCCTGGCGTGCTTCTCGTAACGGGCCACGCTCTTGTTCGACTTCCACTGACCCCGCTTCTGCACCTCCAACAGGGAGCGCGAGCCTCGCGCTCTGTCCACGCTCGGCCCGCTGTGCCGCGTCTGGTAGGGCACGAGGTCGGGCGTTCCGATCAGCCGAGCCGCCTGGCGGAAGGCGTGCAGGCACTCCCCGTAGTCGAAGTCCCACAGCGGCCCCCCTCCAGCCACAGCTCGCAGACGCTCCCACAGCGGGTTCAGCTCCTTCGTCCAATCGCTGTCCAGCAAGATCGACACATCTGACTCCCCGGTATTGCTGCGCCCCACCCGCTCCTGCGGGTGCGCGAGCACCGCCCAGTGCTGGGTCACGAACAGCGCTGGTGGGATCAGGTCGCTGCCCTGCACCGTCAGCAACGCGCCCGGCCTGAGGTAGGTCGAGACGGCCATGATCACGAACACGGCCATCCGAGGGCGGCCGAGGTGGCACATGGCGTTCGCGAGCCCGCACCACACGCCCAGCCCCTCCGGCCTGCGGGAGCGCCCCGGGCACAGCTTCTGCCAGCCCTGCAGCGCCCTCCAGGCGCGGGGTAGCTCCAGGGAGCCCCTGCGCCCGTAGGCCGGGTGGAGGTGGATCCAGCCCGCCAGCGCCTTTGCCCCAGCTGACGGCTGCAAGCCCTTGAAGAAGCACGTCTCGAGGTATGACGCGAAAGCGGCGTCCACAGCGTCGGCCTCGGCGTGCTCCACGTTCAGGCCCCGCGCCGCTGCAAAGGTCTTGAAGGCCGCCACCTCGAAGGTGCACTCGAGATGGGCCTTGTCCGAGACGGCCCGCTTCTCGAGCAGAGTGATCCCGTCGCCCTCGGCCCTGAGCTTCTCCTCGAGGTAGTTCCAGAGCCGCCGCTTCGAGCGCGTAGCCAGCGTCCTCTCTCGGCGCGCGACCCGACCGGGGCCCTCGGACGCGGGCCCAGCGCTGGAGGAGCTCGAGGCGCGCTGCCTCCGAGCGCCGCGCTTCTCGACGTAGTCGCCTTTCCCCTCGCGCACAACCTGCTTGGCCCACTCCTCGAGGGTCTGGCGCTGGGGCGGCCTCGGCAGCAGCAGCTCCTCTAGCGGCACGCGTGGCGAGAGCAGCCTCGTCCGCAGAAGCCCTCTCTGCGCGGCTGCGCGGCTCTGCAGCCGCGGCCTCGCCGCTGCCAGCGCCCTCGCCCTCCTCCCGGGCGCCGGCCCCGCGCCCTGGTCGCTCACATGCGCCGGTGCCCGCGCGGCAAGGGCCCGCTGGCGCTTCCGCCCGGCACCCGTCAGCTTGGGCCTGCGGCGGCGGCGCCCGGCGCACGAAGTCGGGAATGACCCAAGCAAGAGACGACGATGCTTTTTCTGAAAAGATACGGGACGGCTCGTCACAAAAGTTGAGCTCGCTGGGAACCCACGTCACGTGAAGCCTAATACTGCGAGCCAGCAAGAATCCAGTTAGCTTTCGCAGGACGGCCAGCAGCATGAAGTCCCGGCACGGGCACCGACTCACAGCCAGCACGACGCCCATGTTGTCGCAGAGGTGGAGGCGCCTGCGGTTGCCGCCGACGGCGACCTGAGCCAGCCGCCGCACAGAGGCCAGCAGCGCGCGCGCCCCCAGCAAAGTGATGTGCCCCTGGCGCCCCCACGCACCAGCGCGGCACACTCGCCAACCCTCAGGATGGAGGAGACGTGCTGGCACCTCGGGAAAGCCCTCCACGATGGACCAGTCCTCCTCCAGCTCCTCCTCCGCGCGCGGCCGCCAGACGCCGTCCTCGAACACGATTCCGGCGGCCGTCATCGCGGAGTCGCGGGGGGCAACCGGCCCGCCGCGGCGGAAACGACCTCGTTCTCGGACTCGCCCGACACTCGCCACGTCACGGGATGGCCAGCGCGAGCTCACGACGCCGAAGCCCTCGGGGGACGCATCCGGCGCGGTGACGCCCCTGTTCCACGGCAGCCACCAGTCGCTCTGCATGAACACCAGCAGCCCCAAGAAGGCACCGATCTCCGCCTTGACCGAGTCCCAGAGCTCGATGTCCTTCGCGTAAGTGGCGTGCACGAAAGCGCACGGGGCCGCGAAAACAGCCATGGTCTCTCTCTATTGATCAGGGCGGCGCAGGTACAGTGCCCGAGGATGCTCTCCACCATCTGCCCGCTGGCTCGCCCACGCTGGAGGAGGCAGAGCAGCCCCCTCTCGATCCTGCACCGGCGCTTCGGCGTGAGGCAGGTCGCAAGCCTCGAGCCATCGAGGTCAACTCCCAGCGCGGAGCCCTTCTCGGTGAAGAGCTCGACCTCGTGGATGTCCAACCGTTCTCGCTAAAGACCTGCACCTGCTCGGAAAGGGCGGCGCCCACCGTGTCGGCGCCCCTGCCCAGGACCCCGAGGTTGTCCACGTAGACGTACCGCCAGACGTCCGTCACGGGGGCGCCTGTCTCGAACACGGCCGACTCCCCGCGATCCGACAACAGGCGGCCGTGGTGAAGGAGCGGCGCGCTGCCCGAGAGCCTGGTGTTGGCGTTCTGGCAGAAGTAGAGGCCCCACGCAAAGCCCATCGGCAGAGGGCGCGCGGCGGGCCACACCTGGGCGCCCCCTGAGGCCAAGTCGCCCTCGACCAAAGGCAAGCCCGCGGGATCCACCTCCGCGGCGAGCACGGGCTCGTCGCAGAACATGCGGCTCATCCACGGGGGCATGATCACGCGGTGGAAACAGTTCTCCACGTCTGCGACACCGAGGGCAATGCGAAGCGCTCGGAGAGCGCCGCGGCCGAGGTCGCTGGTCAGCTCGGGGTCCTCGTCCACGAAAACCTCGATGGAGGCCAGGCCCTCCGCGGTCAGCAGGTCGACGTGAGGTGGCTGGGCGAAGCGCTGGTTGGCTGCTCGACCGTCCAGAATGAGCCTCTGCTTGGTCTTACCCTTCTTCCAGACGAAGAAGGACCCGATGAAGTCGATGGGCTACGTGGTGTACCGGAGCATGCCTATACCATGTAGGCACCGGATGAACCGAAGGTACTGGCGACGCGATCGACCAAGGCGAGGGTCAGAGCACGGCTTGACGGGCCCCCGCCGCCGCAAGTCCACGAACTCACTGATGTCACGTAGCATTCTCTCTCCACAACCCTCCAAGAAAAGGCGCCCCTGCTGGTCGACAAGGTCATACACGGACGGCGCCGCGGAGACGTCGGCAGGCAGTGAGACGAGGCGCAACTGGAAGGGGGCAATGTTCGATTGGCATTCCTCATACAGGGAAACGCCACGGATCATCTCCAAAAACGACGATCTCGGAGAGGGTGCGTCAG